ATATATATATTATTGTACGTATATTCAAGAATTGTTTATATAATAATCTTAATTGATTTGTGTTTTTGTTACGAGTAGTTGAGTTATCAAGTATGAAAGCTTGAAGAAACATTATATTTTACATAGTCACTCTATATATTATATATTCAACATTCAATAAAAAAATTAACTTGTTAGTGTAAAAAAAAAATATAACTTGTCATTGCATGTATATAAATTGAAGGATGGGAGTTAGAAAGAAAGATGGAATAAATTAGACAAATTTTACTAGGTATATATAAATTAAAAAATAAATATTTCATATATATTAATAGTATAAAGAGTTTTACATGATTATTTAATTACACATTATTTATCTATATTAATTTTTTAAAGTATTTTTTTTAATTTTATTATTTTTATACATAAAACTTGTTTTAAAAAAAATAATTTTACTATTACTCAAATTAACCCTTTGTTAGTAAATTTATTGATTTTTATAACATACCAAAACTAATATTTTTTTTTACTGAATTAATACATATTTAGCTATGTAATTTTCTCATATAAAATAAATTATTAAAAATGTTTTATTTCATTACAATAATTTTTTAAAAATACGTATGTTAGATAAATAATTCAAAACAAAAGAAATAACAATAATAATTAAAAAAAAAAAGGAGAAAATGATTGAGAGAGAGAGAGGAGTAGGTATTAGAGGGGTGAGGGAAGGTGGAAGAATAAAAGACAAGTTGGTGGAAGGCCAAAGAATTAGAATCCATCCATCCTCTCATCTCATCTCATCAACGCTGCCAGAATCAATGGAGCTCACACCCCAGCAGCTCAGCCAGTACAACGGAACCGACCCCTCCAAGCCCATCTACGTGGCGGTGAAGGGCCGCGTCTACGACGTCACCACCGGAAAATCCTTCTACGGCCCCGGCGGCCCCTACGCCATGTTCGCCGGCAGGGACGCCAGCAGAGCCCTCGCCAAGATGAGCAAGAACGACGAAGACATCTCCCCCTCCCTCGATGGCCTCTCCGACAAGGAGATCGGAGTTCTCAACGATTGGGAGAACAAATTCCAAGCTAAGTACCCTGTCGTTGCTCGCCTTCTCAATTAATTATCTCTACTCTTTCGTCGTCTGTTAATTTCCGCTACTCGACTAAATCACCTACCCTAATAATAATCATAATAAGAACTTTCCCTATTCTTCTTCCGGATTAGGGATTCCATTTCTCTATCGTCTAATTCATTTCTTTTTTAAAGGACAACAGATTTGATTGGTTAAAGATTCCGACAAACTTGAAGTAAAGATTATTTAATTGATTTTCGTTGATTTGATGATAAACCAATCAGGCTCTTAATCATTCAATGTTTTAGGGTTCTGCTCGCAAATAGATTGTCTCGGGATAAAATATAAACATTACCAATGTTTTCATGGGGTAACCAAGTTTATTGACAATTAAGCAAAACATTTATCAGTTTAATTACTTCATACCATTCAATCTTAGATCATGGTGGCAATAAAGCACAGGCTCGGTATTTTGATGCAATGTCTGCGTGTATAACACACTGTCTTAGGTTTTGTTTTTATTCTCTCAATTCCTTATTATAAAGGCATAATTTAAAAAAAATAGTAACTTTTTTTCATAAGATACTTTACGATTTTAATAAAATATTAATTTTATTTATCAGTTTTTGTGATTATTAAAAATTATGAGAATATGTATTTTTTATTCATGGAGAATTTAATAAATAAATATTCTCATACTTTTTAAATTCTTCTATTTATCATTTTTTTAATGGTATTGGTGTATAAAATTTTGAGATAGAGTAATATTTTAACTTCTTCTATAAAAATTTAATAATAAATAAAAGGTAAAATTAATATATTATAATTTTATTATAAATTTAGTAAAATTAATTAATATAACTATTTATATTTTCTGTAACAAATATAACTACTTATAATTCAAGAATCAAGATTGGTTTTGAACGTAACTTGTGGACAACCTTATATTTAAATGAGTATAATTTAGCATTGTTTTAAAAACTGGCTGGGATCAAATGATTGAATTGGTTGAACTCGGAATTGGTGGTCTAGTCAGTTTGAGTTTTGAGTTAGATTGGTTGTGTATTTGATCTGGTATAAATTGAAATGAGTCAGCCAATTTTTTGGTTCAACCAATGAATCGAGGTTAAACCCGTGCAATCACAAAAATGTATTTCATCACTTTTAATTTTTTTTTTTAAAGTATTTATTTGTAATATTTGGAATTTAAATAATTTTTGTAGTATATTATTAATTTTAAATTATATATTTAATAATATATATATATATTACATATATTATATTATGATATCAATTAAAAGTATATTATATATACATATTATTTATATTTTTAATTTATATTAATATATAGTTTAATATTGTAATTTTTATATATTTCTTTATACAAAATAAAAATAAAAATAATATTAAATAAGATAAAATTTAAAATTTAAAATATGATATAAATTTATTAAAATTTATAAATATATTTAATATTAATATGTTTTTGAAAAAATTAATAAAAATTGAGTAATGTAATTTAATTAGCGACTCACCAATTTAATTGTTAACTTGTTAATCTAATATTTTGATGATGGGTTACGGAATTTATTACACTTCCTACCACTTGTCGGATCCGAGCACTGTTATGGGTGAGATAAATGCAACCGAATGGACGGATGCAATTTACGTAATGCATTTTTAGTTTGTAAATTGCTGAACTTTTAGTTATTCAAATAATTGTATTCAAGGTATTTGTAAAGAGCGTTTTTATATATTCCGAACGATAAGTCGAATCAGTATCTGAATAATTAAAATATTAATATTTTTTAAATAAATTTATTATAAAATAATTATTTAATTTAATATTTTATTTTTTAAATCAGTTTTTTATTAATTCGGATCATGTTTCGGAATAATTTTTCGAAGGATGAAGCATTTTTCATTTGTAAAAAATAGGGATGGCAATGAGGCGGGTCGGGTACGGGTTTCATGATACCCATCCTTGTTCCTGCGAGTTAAATCCATCCTCGTTCTCGTACCCGTACCTGTCCGGTATGTGATTTTCATCCCTGTCCTCGTTAGATATCGGGTAAACTTGTATTTGTACCGGTCAATGTCAATTTTTTTATTTTTTATTTTTTGTAAAAAAATATGATATTTTTAAATTATTTTTTATTATATTATAATTATAATTAAGTTATTTCTCTATCTCATATTATAATAAATAATCACAAATAAAAAAATATTAAATTTTTTTAATATAATTAAATTGAAAGTGGATATTAAATTAAAAATAGAAACGGGGACGGGTAAAGGTATGGGTACGGGACGGGTAAGTACATACTTGTACCCGTACCCGGTCAAACCGGGTATTCCCCGTCAAAGTTGGGACGAGTTTGAGTATTATCCGCGGATACGAATATATTTGTCATCGCTAATAAAGAAAATTAAAATACACCGGAAGAAGATCGGGGGAATGCATGAGCAAAGCAACCCTGAATTCCTAGTCATTTATATCTCCTTATTATTGTTATAGCTCATACAATTATACTAAATAATACTATGAAATCTTGTCTTAATCATTCTAAAGGTTAAAATGTTGCTGGTGTAAGATCATGCAAGTATTTTGATTGCAGTTAAATTGTACATAAAGCGTGCATGCCAACTTTTAGGTTATTTTAAAAATAATCAGCTTGCAAAAGGTTTGTTAATAACTAATATTATTTGTGTTCTCTATTATAAAAAATATTTTTTTCTTAAATATAAATAAATTTAACTACTTTTATATTATTTAATGATATTTTTTCTAAAATATTCTTTCTTTAATACATGATATTTTAATTGTATTACTGTTTGTTAATATTTATAATAAAGACAATTTAGAATTTTTTTATGAAATTAATAAAATTTAATATAAATAACCAACTTTTTGAATATGCATAAAATTTTCTCTTTTTTATTTCTCATAATAGAGAATAGATGGAGTAATTATTATTGATATAAACTAAACAACTAACTATATCTAAAAAAAAAAAACTAAACAACTAACTATTTAATTACCAGAGAAAACTAAGTTACTCTCAAGTCTCAACACCCTTTTTATTTAGACTTGCTAATGACAATACACCTAATTTATCACTTAGCCCTTGTTTGTTTCAGGGGATTTACTGTTCACGATGAACGAAATGTGAAGAAACTTCACGTTTGTTTCCGTTAATTTGCACCGAAAGAAAAGCGAAGAAAAGCGGGAGAACGTCCTCGCAAAGTTGTGAAGAAAAGAGATGAAAGCCACGTAAGAAATGAGAAAACTCGATAATACCCCTACCTCAAAGGCTAAAGAGAGATGAAGAATGGAGACACATAATCGATTATGCATGACACATAATCGATTATGTGGCATACCCATTTCTCCCAACCTTAATTCATACACTATCACCGCACCCTCACTTGGCACTTGCTTTTTCCTTTTTCAATTATCTAACTACCGTATAAAATAATACTATTATTTATGCCAATACCTTCTTCGCTTTTTTCCCTGTTCAACTTCATTTTTGGAATTTTGGAAACCAACCAAGCATGCCAAATTGGAAAATCAACTAATATTATTATTAATATCATTATTATTATTTATTATTATAAATATTATTATTTTTATCATTATTATTAATATTATTATTATTTATTATAATTAGAATGAAATTTATGTAACATTATTTAACCAAATTTTCTAAATTCAATAACATGTTTATCGGACAGCGTTGAGAGCACGCTGTAAAATATGAGAAACTCAATTTAAGAAAATTTAAATAATCTGTAACTTAAATAATAATTTATTGAGTGTAGATTAAGAATAAATACAGTTAAGAGAGAAAATCTCTAAATTAAAATTTATAGAAATTCTCTAACGATTTAACAAGAAAAAATTATTCTGCTAAAATCTTAATTTAGAAAATTGTGGGAAAATGTTCAAAAGGATATAATAATTTTATCATCGATATAGTATGCTTAGAATTATTAATAAAAATGTATAGTTAGGTGAAATTAAAATACAAGTCTCAACCAATGAAATTATGACACATAAGCAAATCCTAATCTATTTAATTAATATTAATTAACATAATTAGGAGATGATCAAGAGACAAAAGTTTGTATTTTTTAATGGTCAAGATTCTAATGATGATATTAGTTTCTCAAAATTATAATTAATTTGTAAGATACTTTAATAATTCTATAATGTTCTAGAAAGTTCTAGAAAGTTCTACAAAACTCTTCAAAGTAGATATCTAATTACCAAATAATTAAATGGGTTGGAAGCTTAACTATTAAGATATTCAAATAACTCAAGAAAGTTCTATAAAATTCTACATAATAGAAATCTAGAATGGATTAGATGCTTAACCATTAAGATATTTAAATAATTTTACAAAATTCTAGGATGTTCTATAAATTTTTACAAAAGAAAAGGGACACATAATCACCATGTGATTAAAATGAATTGAAAACTTAATCATTAAGATAACTAAATAACTCTACAAAATTCTAGAAAGTGGACATCTCATCACCAAGTTATTAAATAAATTGGAAACTTAATCATTAAGATACTTAAATAATTCAAGGAAATTCTAGAAAGTCCTATAAATATCTACAAAATGGACACCGAATCACTATGTTATTAAAATATCTTAGGAAATATCAAGAAATATCTACACATCTAGAAGATTGGAGAATAGAGGTGGAGCCTAGTATAAACAGGAGAAACCACACACCAAAAAGCTCACCAACAACCCTTAACAACTACACATAAACCAATGCCAAAGAAACACCCAAAAATACTCTATCTTTTCCACAACCAAGGAGTAAAACAAGGAGTAAACAACTAAAATTTCAAGAAAAGGGGAAGAAAGGAAGAAGATAAGAGGAAGAAAAAGAAGTAGGAGAAGAATAAATCAAGGAAACTAGAAAAAACTAGCAAGCTTGGAGAAATAGGTATGGGTTAGATGTTTAATTTTATTCATGTCTATGTAGTTGTAGAATAAATATTAATTTTTACTTATAAGTTTTGATGCATGGAACCTTAGGTTAGTTGATATGGTTTTTTTATTGTACTTTTTGATAAATTTGATGCTTTAAAGTTGAATCTTGAAGTGGTTGATTGTGTATGATTGAACGTTTCTATTGAAATTATTTGAATTGTATTTGAAGAGTTTGATTGAGAAT